CAAAAAATGAATGTTAGAAAACAGCTTCCTTGGGGAAACAGGAATCTAGTTATAATGTTACTCTTTCTTTTATCTACTCAAAAGTCAGAAATAAGACACAGTTGCTGAAACTTCCACTCTCTTCCCCTGCCATTCCAATTCTACGGTACCAGGTAAATGCAAAACAATGCATATATTATGTTATCTCCCTCTAAATCTTGAACAAGCATTTACTAAAACAAATAAAATTGTTTCTGACTCAAGTTGTATGCAGTATCACTATTATCTCACTTCCTATGCTATGATAGCCTAACATAATTTTAAGTCTATCCATGTACACTTTTAATAAAATTTATCTTTTGAATAAGTAGAATAATATTCTTAAATAATGTTTTTAGAGAACTGAGTTCTATGAAAATTCAACTAAAATGAAAATTTAGTTAGAGGAGAAACTGTGCATGTCTCGTTAATCATTCAGAAAGTCATAATTTTACTGCTCTGGATTTAATAGCCTCAGCTCTGTGGACTCAACTGATGAATGCTTGGTCAGGATTAGGGTGGGGGTTTCTATAGTACCATGTTGCCAAATCAGCAAGAATTGTGATGGGACAGTGTTGTTCATTTTACAAAATGCAAACTTCTGATATTTCATTCTGTTGAGTTATAGCAATCAGTGTTAAAAACATCTCAAATTATATACCCACATCTGCAAGTAGTAACTATGAGACAATTAGAACAAACAGTCATGTTAAAACCCTTGACTTTTTCTTTACATTTTTAGCATTATCAACCAAATTCCTCATGTACATTTGTGCTATCACACAACCTAAGCCATAAACTGAGAACACTGACTGTTTATAATATATATTTCTAAGAAAGGAAGGCCAACATGTTTCTCTTCACTTCTAATCTCCTTTATAAAACATGTTTTTATTTGTGTGTGTGTGTGTGTGTGTGTGTGTGTGTGTGTGTGTGTGTGTGATTTTAACTGTGTGCCACATGTCTATGCCACTCCATGCAGGTGAACAGAGGAAGCTGGATCTACAGGCTGTCATGAACATGGGTTCTGGGACCTGAAGTCTGGAAGACTTTGCATTCTTACTTTTTATGTTATATGACTGTATCACCTGCTTTCCTTTCTTTAATTAATTATCATTACACATTCTGGTAATTGGGGGTAATGACTAGTGTTAGCTCCACATTTGTTGGGCAATCCATATTATAAATAAATTTTACTTGGACTTCTGGTTTTAATTCCAAAGTATATAATCATTATTCATGCATGTTATGCATGTTTGTATGCAACTCCTGAAGAACTTGAAAAATCACCACTATCACTTTATCTTATTGATTAGCCAACTAACATATAAGTGAAGACTATGAATGAAAAAGGATGGAGCTTCACTGAATGAACGGGGGAGGGCCTAGGCCCTGTCCCAAATAACATGACACACTTTGATGATTCCCACATAGAAGGCCTTGCCCTCTCTATGGAGCAGAAGAGGAATGGAATGGGGATGAGTAGAGGGCATGAGAGAATGGGAGGGAGAGGGAACTGATTTTATATATATATATATACATATATATATATATATATATATATATATGTATATATATATATATAAATTAAGAAGGAAAAAAGAAAAAAAGAACTAATAGAAAGAAAACAAAATGAAAGCAAGACAAGACAAGACAAAAAAAAAAAAAAAAAAAAAAACAGCCAAAATGTCTCTGTATCTTCAAGAGAGAAAGTATCAGTATAAAGCCACAGGCCCACTTACGGGCCAAGTCATGACAAAATAAGACATTGTTTCATTCTACAATTTTTAGTTGCACCTGAATATGGCTGCTGCAGTGACTATGAAAAACAGTAGCTGAAGAAACAATATATTTACACACACTGAGTCCATTAATTCAAGAGCAAAGGGTGAAGGAAAGCCACAAGAGGAAATTCAAGTTTCTGAGACACCATAAATACAGTAAGCATAATGCACAATTCATGCTCAAGTTACAACAGAAAAGGCCAAATAAATAATGTCCTGAAGTTGAAGAATGAAATGAATAACAAAACAGTAGACTTTTGATTTTATAGAGCTAAGGTTTACTCTGTTTATGAAATATTGCAATTAAATATATGCTTTGGGTGATATCTTCAAGTTACAAAAAATATGGTATTTTCCTAAGATCTTTCTAGATCTTCTTGGTAGTTGATTCTGTAAGTCTCTTATAAAGTAGATAATTGTATTTTATATGCATATAGTAAAATTGTGGATTGACTTATTTAGAGGTTATGTTCACAATAAGTCATTTATTTTCCTTTATAATCAATTGAAGTTGCATCGTTATTTTGATAATATTAGTACCCCTTTTTGATAATACATCTTATGTCTGAACAATACTTCTTTTAGATGATGGTAGGACTATTTTTAAATGAAGGGAAAGCTGAAATGAGTGTGAAAATAATTTCAAGTTATTTATTGAAGGATTCGTTTATATACCTGTCCAAAGTCAAACTCCAGAATTCTAAAATTATAAAGTAAGTAGTTTTAATTTTTCTTTTAAAATTTTCAAATTTAAATGCTTAACCAATTTATGTCTACCCCTTGTGGACTATATCTGGAGAATAATGATGAAATATACATTACCTTCTATGTACAAAAAAACTATTTATTGATTGATAAAGAGCAAGCAAATCTAAAAGGTTCACTCCATAATTAATAAACTGAAAACTAAGTGTGTTATCAACTTGACCTCAGTGAGAGGATCAAGGAGATTGAAGATTATTTCATAGAGTGTAGTTTTCTTCTTACTACTTCTGTAACAAAGATGACATAAAAAAGAATTTCCCACACTGCCTAGTCACCCTAAGACATGCTTCTATTATAAATGACAGGTGGAAGATTAGAAATGATGCTGAACTGAGTTTTACATTTCCCATGTTTCTTGGCCTTTGGCACTGTGAAGAAATGACATTCAAAGTTTTCTGTACTACTTTTCCACAGTAGCTGGCAAAATCCTGTTCTTGCTTTGCCCTACAATCTTTTTGAGCAGAAGAATTAGTTTAAAATTCTCTTACCTCTCTTTTGATGCACAATTGAACTCAAATATCTTTATTTCCTGTGGTATGACTTTAAGAAAATTTGTTTCTTGACATATTAATATAAATACTCTAATGAAAATTTGAGTGATAAAACAATTGTTCATTCACTGGGAGGTCGGCTTTATAGATGTGTTACTTTCCTAACTTAATTCATACTGGCATTCTATCACAGTTTATGAGATAACATGATAATGTGATACCATATAAAACATATTTCCTCATTCAAAAGTAAGCTTGAAATCAGGAAATTTTATTGAACAATAATCTTGTTGAAGGGTTGTGGTAATTTAGGTAATGTAGGGGAAGTGATTATCAGAGTTATTTAGTAGGTATTGAAATAAATGGACTGGGAGACAGAGAAAATGATATATAAGTAACCAATCACAGAAGCTAACCTATCCTACTGTGAGACAGCAAAAGCAATATGTAAAGCATAGGGCATAGAAGCCACCCCAGCCACTTGGAAAAGTTGAAATCACTGAGCATATCTGAACACTGATAATCATTGACCACTTTAAAGTAAATTAATTTTCCTTTGAAAAATAATACTGATTCAGTGTTTTAACAAAGTGTCAGTGTCTTCCTATGATTTTATTTAAATATTTATCTGAGTTATGACTCTACCAACTGACATATTCATAAATGACAACACCAAGTTTCAGACAATAGGTCTAAAATAAGATATTTGTCATGAGGTTAAAAACTTGCAACAGCTTTACTAAGGGATGTATCTTTGAATTTAACTTAAAAATTCATAAACTGGATCCTCAGACTTCTAATTGTGTGACACTACTAAGCAGTGGAGGAACCTTCACACTAAGTGTTTGAAGTCTATGAAGGACTTTAGGTCTTTGCAGATAAACACTTGAAAAGGATTTGGAAAACTCTCTCTCTCTCTCTCTCTCTCTCTCTCTCTCTCTCTCTCTCTCTCTCTCTCTCTCTCTCTCTCTCTGTGTGTGTGTGTGTGTGTGTGTGTGTGTATCCTAGCTACTATGAGGTAGATGCTCCTCCTGATCTTCCTACAGTTCTATATTGTGATATCATAACAAAACCGTGAACTAAAACCACTGAGCCAGGAGCCCAAATTAACCTTCACTACTTATAAGTTGATTAACCTTGGAATTTTGTTATAATACACAAAACCAACACACCGTGTTCAAAATATCATTTTAATTAAGAAATTTTATATAAAATCACATTTTTTTTTCTTTGAAGCCATTTTTCAAAATGTTTCAGGAAAAGCCTGGTAGTGATACTTCTCTGCCATAGAAAGATAATTCTCAAATTATGACAATCAAACAGCTACAAATTCAAATGCTGATTTTGACAGTCTTGATCTTTTCAAAAGTATAATGACAATTTCACACATATGCTCACATGCACACACACACACGAAAATTTCTGTAAGTAACCTAAGAAAACACAAAGATTATATGATGCTACATATCAAACTACTAAAATACTTTATTTATAAAATTGTTCAATGGGAATTCACATGCCTAGATGAACTGCACAATGGGTAGGCATCTCATTTATAAAAACAATATTCAAGCAGTTTTGTATGTGGTCAAAATAAGTTGCAGTTCTTAGATCTGAAAATATGAACTCAAATTCACACAATTGAAATCTAATAATTTTTAGAAAATACAATTTAACAATTTGATATTTGGTTACCAAATAAAAAATAAACAGTCTGTGAATTTCACTTTATTTTCATAATGACTTTGAAAGACATGGGGAACTTTTCTGTGTATAATTGAGGCTCAAGTCAGAATCAACTGACAAAGGAGATGCTATTCTTACAGCCAGTCACAGTTATAAAAGCAAATTTTGTTTCTGGTTTCATTAACTGATATTTATGATGGACTATCCTGGGAAAGAGAATTGAATATAAAGGTAGAAATGATTTTGTAGCACTTACCTCTCTTAACATTTCTGCCTGTGCTTGTAGATTTATCAGAGGGACATGGACAACGCCCTTCACATCGTATAGTAATCTGTTTGCCTAAGACACATGCTTGATATTCTAGCTTGCACTGTGTAAATAAAAGAATAAGAAACAAAGTATTACTCAAGCACATTTATATTTAATTATATCATTAGAAAGTCAAAGAGTCCTTAGGCATATTATTTGTATATGTAATTTCCAAGTGTTTTTATTTATGTCTATAGTGCTATGAGATACCCTACCCAATATGTATAATTAATTGCTACATAGACAAGGCAGTACAACAGTACTTGGGGGATCATTTGGATTAAAAGACATGGAGTAATGCAGTGGCACAGAAATTGTAAGATTGCTTAGTCTGGATTACAGAATAAGTTACAAAAGGACAGAACAATAATGTAGAAACTGACTATCCATCTCCTGAGTTGTTTTGGATATGTTCCTGTTTTGTTTCAGTTATTTGAGAATGTATAATGTATCTCTCTTTACTCTATGCTTGGTGCATCACAACACATTAAGAAATCATTGAAGACTTTGCATGTATTAATTGACAGACAAGGATAACAGTTCAAACACACACATATACAGACCAGTTTTGCATGCTTACATACAAAATCAATATAACATATATTTTGCAACCATAATATGATATGCATGCCTACATTTTATCTAGGTACACATATTGTGAACACATTTACAAGATAATATATTCATATGTATCCTTTAACTCATAATGTACAACATTTTTTAGTGGAGTTTCTCTAAATCTCAGATATTAATAATCATGAGTTGCTTATATAATTTTGTGACCGAGACTTTTCTCAGTAGTTAGCATAAAACTAACACAATTGAAGGAAAACTATTAAAATATTATAAAACAAGTTATTTTGTGATTTTGGTTTAACCTGAATTCATTTTTCTAGAAACATGACACCTTATAAAATGTTAAATATGTGAGTCTAAAAATCCCTCTTAAGATAATGTTTGCTAGCTAAATACATGATATGATGAAAAATTCTAATCTAACTCCATATTTTAAGAGTCAATGATATCTTCCTACACAAAAGTACTGTGTCTAAGTCTTTTGTAACATGATTTCTTTAGAAGTTACTCCCGTAATTTTCTGAGTCAATTATTTTAAAATTAAGTAAGGTAGACATTCTGGCTCTAATGTGAAATCACAGGAGAGTAATTTGATTGAGCTCGCATCAGGAAGCAAAACATATACCCAGTGACTAACCATATCACTAATATCCTCAAACAATTCATGTTTCCTTGTTGAAAAAATCTTTATGGACAAACAGAATCCTTAACTGTATCTGCAACAAATGATTAAAACTGTGGACAGTTTGAACAAATTTGCAATTGAGAAATGATTCCTCATTAGAACAAAATTTTTAAAACTAATCAAATGAATAAATGATTATAAAAATGATTTTGGCTCTAAAATTTTCAACATCTAATCAAATATAAAAATAAGAAATTAATTACAAATTCTTTGATGAGAGCCAAATTAGATAATTTACCATTTTACTATAACTTTTTATTGGCTTTAGAATTTGGATTTATTGTTGCTTTCTTCTAAGTTGTGTTATTTCTCATCCATGTCTGTTTCAATGCAGTTAAATTTAGGAATAAACTTTGTATCTTTTTGTTTTTTGTATTGTAGTGAATGTTGGATAAGCAGTACAATTTTTTGTTTAATAACAGTTATTTTACTCCATCTAAAGCTCAAGTAATATTGTGGTAAAGGAGCTGAGCAGAATATAAGAACCATATAAAAGGAAGGAAAATGCAAAGTGAGGTCTGGGTATGACAGTCCTGAACAGGAGTAGGTCTGCTAATAGACAAGAAGAGATAGCAGTGAGGCTCACTTGAAACCTATACTTCTCTAGAGAGTCATGTTTTCAGTTATGTTACCACTGGAGAATCAAGCAGAAACTAACAGAAAGTTTTAAAAACATGGTCACAACAAGGCCCCCAAAATTAAGTTGAGTGAGTCACAAAACAGAGCATGGTCCACAGACAGGCCAGGGTGTTAATAATAGTGAAAGGGTATAAGAATGTAGGCCAGAAATATTGTTACAAATATATTATTTTAATTATTCATAGATATTAAGGAATTCAAGCCAGTTGAAATAGTAAGATCTACAAGACAGTGGCCTTCTTTGACTGAGCCAATACTGTTCATGACATACAAGTGAGTACATTATACCATGAAGAAAACAATAAAGGTTAAAGGCAAAGGGTTTGACGAAGTATTGAGTGTAAGTAATGAACACAAGTTATGAAAGAGCATGTAAAGCTAAGGTATTTTAATTCCTACAGGATTTTCATCATCCTGGTATGAACTGGATTATCATTGATATGATTATCAGTAAACAAAATCAACTGCACTGATATTTTCTTTACTGAAGCAATAACATTTTATCATATTAAAAGAAAATTTGAGAAATAAGAAAGAACAGAAATAACTTTTTGGCCTCAATCTTTCTTGGACTAATTTATCTCTTTAATAACTCCAGTACCAGCACTATAAACACAATAAGCATGAACAGGATTTCTCACTCTCAGATGGGACTAAGTCTTTTACAGAAAACCACCTCTACTTGTTTCTATAATCTTCACCCTGGTGTTTTCCTGGAAAGACAAAGAGAAGATAACAAGAACAGATTCAACTGGAAATCCATTCATCCAACTGGGATAGACAACTCACACAGAAATATCACAGATGTGATATCACAAGTCAGAAGCAAAATATAGAAACAAGCACATTGTAACTATCTTCTCCATGGGGGACACTGAATTATCATTCTCTATATGTGACACCTGCATGAAAGAGTAACACATTATTTTAGGAAAGGTTTCTTGTTCTCACCAAAAGCTTTATTTAGGGGAATTTATTTTTATACTGTAAAAGTTTATTATGTTCCCTTCTTATCCAAGCAGATGGTCTATACAAGGTGAGTGTATGTAATCAAATGCAAGTAGCAAATAAAACTATAGAAAGTACAAATTTGCTTCAAATTGAAAAAAAAAACTGAAACAAACAAACAAAAAAAAAAACAAAAACAAAAGCTGTGGGTGATTTTTCAATCAACAAAGAGACTCAACAACAGAATTATCAAAAAGACACTTCATGAGTCTTATATGCAATCTACAAGAATCTGGTATATTACCCATTAATATAATATCTTTTGGTCAGCTTTGATGTGATGGTCATACACTTCAAATGCCATATTGTCCTACCTTTTTTCTGCTTTAAATTATTTGATAGGATTGATACAATCTTTTTTACAGCTTTCTACGTGTGGCTAACGTCATCATGCCATGGCAAGTAGAAAAATCAAATTAAAATTAATGAAAACTGATTCAGATTTCCAAAGTACGCTTTAGTGTTTTATTGATTTTGTTGAATCTGAATTTAAAGAACTATAGGAAAATGTATATTTTACTCCTGTAGTGTATGTCAGTCAAATCCTACTGTGGTTTTTCTACTATAAAATCATATTATTATAAGTCTGTACAGCAACTTTTCAGTTGTATAGTAACATTTTCCTTATAAGAAAAATATTTTTGTATTAATTTTACGATTCACATTCTTACAATAGCATCTTTATTTATCAGCTATTACATGAATAAAACATCATGCTTACATAAAAATTACAATATATTTGTTCTATATAGTATTCATTTTATTCATGGCAACATTATATCTGATTAACCCTGTTCCTATTTTCTGTGACCTTATATAAATTAGTACCTCCATGCTTCAGATTATTTTTGAGATTTATTTATTCTGCATATAGCATTCTCCCTGCATGTGCGCCTACATTATGTATTAGAAGAGGGTACAAGAACCCATTACAGATGATTGTGACCCACCATGTGGTCACTGGGAATTAAATTCAGGTCCTCTTGAGCAGTCAGTGCTCTTAACTTCTGAGCCATTGCTCCAGCCCCCAGATTATTTTTGAGTGAAGGTGTTAATGTATATTACATACCTTGCACATTTTTATGAGTAATATATTGATGAATATGAAATTGATACATTATTTTTACACTAACATTTCAATTTAAACCACAGATTAATATACATTAGGCATTTAAATAGCCCTTTGTTTGCAGGTGCGATGTGCATTTGGCAAAGAAAATGAAACCAAGTGACCTGTCAGTGGATTGACTTTGAACTTCCTAAAGACATTCTGAATGCATCAGCTGGAATAATAGCTGCTAACAAGTTACAGTACCATGTGCTACAGTTATCTTTTACCTTGGCCTAACAGTTATCTGTCTAGAATATAAGTTTTTGATGAGTTGCATCATAGTTGGCATTTACAAATCTGAACTGTAGCCTGCCATTGCTCCAGGAATTTCCACAGTTTAACTTATGAATAATCTATGTTGCAAAGAGATCATTCATGTGAAAGCCACACAGTAAATGCACCAGCGATTCTGTTCCTAAAGATAGCTCTTGGATTAACTATATGAGTTTTCACTGGGCTCTAATTCCAGAATTTCTTGCTTCCTAGTTTTAGGAAACAGTTTAGTTAATACTATTGCAGAAAGTTTAATTTTTTTAAAAAATTAAATTAAAAATAATGAGATTACTACCTGATATAAATGCTCAATTAATTTAGCAATTGATAGTAAGGCTATTAACCATAATTACTTTTCTTTCTTTTACTTTTTTATTTTTTTTTAAAGATTTATTTATTAATTATGTATACAGGGTTCTGTCTGCATGTATCCCTGCAAGCCAGAAGAGGGCACCAGATTTAATTACAGATGGTTGTGAATCATCATGTGGTTGCTGGGAATTGAACTCAGAACTTCTGGAAGACTAGTTAGTGTTCTTAACCACTGAGCCACCTCCATAATTTCTTTTCATAGCAACTGAAGTACCTATGTGCTTATATGAGTATGAAGAAAGTATAAAATCTACCATTTTATAAAATGTCAAGAAATTGCAAAAAAAAAATGTTTTCTAATAAACTGTGGGTATTTGTAAAACAAAGCTATCAAATTTGAAATACAAGTAAGAAACATTATATAAGACATAATAACCTTTGACCCCATCGCTGGGCC